GCTTCTGGCTCCGCCGCAAGTCCTGTGATCTGTCCTGTCCTGTCCTGTCCTGTCCTGTCCAATTCAACGAAAGCGTGCAATACAGAGCTCACCGTGGGGAACTGTCGGTACACGCTTTTCGATTTCATTAAAAAAACGCTAATAGTTAAAGCAAAAATTAATCCTGGAAATGTCCAAGTTGCTTTATCTAATAGAGAAACTTTCCTCAGAGGATAGCTATCGTTCAGATAGCATACTTCCACTTGCTTACCCTCGTCTAATCTCGATGTGACTTCATCTGAAAAGTGCAAGAAATTGCTTAGACTGGATTTTCCCTTCAGAAACCCATGCTGTGGCGCAATCAGCAACCGATACTGAGTGAGGTATTCTCATTAGTGGGTTCGGATAATTCTCTCAAGTGCTTTGCACAAGATGCTTGTGAGACTAACTGGACGGTAGTTTTCTACCTTGTGTCTCAGTCCTCCCTTTTGTATGGCGACCACAGTTGCTGTTTTCCATTCCTGTGGTATCCTGCCCTGTTCTAGAGTTTTGTTGAACAGGTGTCATAGTGGGCCCCTAGAGCCTAAGCTGTATTTAACTAAAGCTGGGTGGATGCCATCTGGTCCTGCGAATTTGATGGCGTTGAGCTCACCAAGAGTCCTGCGCACTTCCTCCAGCCCTAAGTGTAATTCAGGGATATCCGGTCCATTGGTGCCGGGGTCTGGTTGTGCACTGACAATTTGATCTATCCTGTGTACGCTTCTGAAGTATTCCTTAAATCGCAATGCTATATCCATCTCGCGGGCCACTACTGCTCCATCGTCCAATATCAGGGGCCCTACCTTTTCACTGAGCCCTCCCTTAGACTGGACATGACGATAGTACCTCTTTGGCTGGTATTTGGCACAATTTGCCAACTTGAGCCCAAATTGCCGTTTGAGCTCGCGCTGAGTTGCTACTGCTTTGTTTCTATCCCTGGTGTACTGCGCCCAGGATCGGTGGCTGCTCGTTGATATATCAGTGTCCCAGCTCCTATTTCTACGCTGTATCGCTCTTCTTATTGCTGGGCTCCATCAAGGTGGTTTGTTTTTCACTGCCCTGGGTTTTAGGGGAGCGAACTCATCCTGTAGAAGCAAGATATTTGCTTTTATCCAGCCCCAATGCTGGTCTACAGAGTCATTTTCGTGGATAGGGCCCATACCATCTCCGCAGATCGGACCTTCTGCTTCAACGCATCGATCATCCAGTAGTTCCTGGACGTCCACCCAGCGGTGGATAGAGGGTGGTGTTTGTCACGTCCCTCTCCCTCGTTGTAATTAGTAGGTCCAGTAGAGATGGCCTGTCTCCATCTCTGTACCTAGTGCACTCCCGGACATGTTGCTGTAGGGCCCTCGAGAGCATCCATTCTAAGAATGCCCTCTCCGGTGTTCCTCCTGGTGCCCTCTCAACCTCCCAATCGATTTTTGGGAAAATGAAATCTCCCAATATACAAACTCCTTGAGATTGTGTATATAAGCTATCTAGGGTGCACGAGATGGCCTGGTCCTCCTCCAGTGTGCATTTCGGGCTTCTGTAGACTCTTGACATGCTAACCATCCTCGAAAGAAGAACCAACAAAATTGAGCACACCTGAACATTTCGGGTGCAATGCGCTATTATTTCTTTCTGGTGGGGTGTATTCTGTCTAACCAGGACTGCTACAACAGTGATGTTAGCGACAGGACGAATGCGTCGAGGGACTCACCATGCTGCTGTCTCCTCTGGTTGAAAATGTATCGTTCGTAAGTCTCGTTGGATTCGCCAAGACAGTACTGTTCGACCTTCGTCTTCACCACCTGCCAATCTCCACGGTCTTCATCCGGACAGTAAGTGAATCCATTTATGACACGCACAGCAGCCGGACCAATCGTGTGACGGAACAAAGCCAATTGTGCGGGACTGGATTTGCTGTTCATTGCTGCCAGTGTACGAAAATCTCCATACTGTGTTCGCCACAGTCTCCAGTTATCATCCAATCGCGCCGTCTCCTCCATAGTCAGGTACGCCGGCAGTTGGACCTACAGTCAACTATTCATTCTCTCCGATATTGGAAATTTCGCATCGTTTTCTGATGCCACCATGTCAAAAGCCAGCTCTTCAGGAAATGCTTTCGATATATTTTCTCTAGTCCACTGGACACGAATCACATTTGGTAAGGATATCACAGGGTTTATACATAATCCTGAACCAATCAGCTTGTTCGACGGGCAAAATTAAAGTCTTCCGCGGACCAATCATAAAAAATACAATTGATGCAGTGAAACAAACGATCAATTCAAACAAGACTTTCCAACACATCCTTCTTCTTTTGGATTTTTTCCATTGTGATCCTGATTGGTTTATGCTTCCACTTTGTGTTCGGCATGGAGATTGTGCTGTCATACCTTCCGTTGGTATTCCTTGCTGTGAATCTTGTACACAGATTTCTACATCCTCCTGAATGGTATTTGGATCGTCTCTTTGTTCGCCTTGGTCAACATTCTCTTCCCCTTTCCTCAAATGAACTCTATTATCTTTGACCACAGCGCACTAGGTACAATTTTTTGCTGCTCGCGCTATCACTTCTCCCTTCGCCCACACATTCTCTGTTGGCTCCAGTAATTGTATCCAAACCGTGTCTCCTGATCTGAGTGAGCACAGAGGTTAACTGTCGCAGTCGTAATACCTCTTCTGTAGCGCCACGCATTTCCTTAGCCTTGACTGTATGAATATTGATGGCGTAGTTTGTGGCTGTAGTAACTGGGTAATGGGTAATGGTAAATAGATAGAACCGTGCGTGTGCGTCTGCCAAATAAACGTTGGCTTGGGCTGGTTCTCATATTGGCCGACGGTATGTTCCGTAACTGGAGAATAGCCATTAGTGGGTCGCTACCATCGGCAACGCATTTTCTGATAAGTTTCTTTACTTGTTTGACTGCGCTTTCTGCTTTACCATTGGACTGACTATGATAGGAGCTAATAACGTGGTGCTCAAAACGTCATTGTACACTGAATTTCAGGAAATCGGTACTACGAAATTGGGGACCACCATCGGAAATCACCTGAAGTGGTATTCCGTGTCGTGCGAAATGAACGCGGAGTTTATCAATGACCTCCTCCGATGTGCTGGATCGCAGTAAATCAACTTCAAAAAAGTCGCTCTATTAGTCAACAGTTATCAAGTAGGTGTCCTTCCCGTGATAAAAAAATATCCAGCGCTATCATCTGCCATGGTCTCTCTGGTATTGCACGCATATTTATCGGTTCCTTCGTTTGTCGCCGGTCAAACTTCTTGCATATTTCACATTTAGCAATCCACTGTTTTATCCGTTCTGACATACCTGGCCTATAATGTTTCCCTGTCGCGGTTGAGGCATCCGTTGGTACCGGGGTGAGAGCAATATATTAGACGCACTAAGTTTTGTTGAATCGCTTTTGGTACGACCAACCTTTCACTACGAAAAATCAGTTCATTGTGCACAGTTAGTTCATCTCGGAATTTGAAGTAGGGCAGTACCTCCATCGAAAGGGCTTTTTTGCTTTCTGGCCAACCACGAGTGATAACTCCTTTGAGTTCTTGAATGCTCGGATCGTCAATAGATGCAGTTCGTATGTGAGACATCTCGCACTGCGTCACCGCCAATGCAACGTTCACGGATTCCAGCTTTTGTTCCTGTCCTGTGTCGGGTAGTGTGGCTCGTGACAACGTGTTCGCCACAAACATGCGTTTACCTTGTTCGTAATGCAGTTCATGCAGTTCCGTAGACGTATGAGCATCGATTGTAACCTCCTTGGTGCTCTGTGGAGTGGCTTATTTACAATCATGATCAGTCGTTTGTGATATGAGTATACATGCGTGAGTCGACCAAATGTGTAATCACTGAACTTCTCCAGCGCATACACAATTGCTAGCATTTCTTTCTCGAGTTTTGCTTACCTTTGTTCACAGGCCGTTAGTGTCCTACTCCGGTAATCTAATGGACGGCCATTTTGAAGGATCACTGCACCTAAGCCAAATTGACTACTGTCACATTGTATGCACAGAGGTGCATTGGGGTCGAAGTAAGCCAGTACATGGGCTTTTACAATAAGTTGCTTGATGTGATCAAAAGCCGCCTGTTGTTGTTATGTCCAAAACTACGGTTGTCCTTTATGCGTCAAACGTCGAATCGGCCGCATCAATTCCGCTAGTTCTGGGAGAAATCTACTGAAATAGTTAATTATTCCATTGAATCGTGATACGCCTTTTGCATCGATTGAGGGCGGCATTTCTACAATCGCTTTTACCTTCTCCGGGTCCGGTTTGATCCCTTCACTTGTAAGTACGTGACCGTGAAAGCTGACTTCCGGTTGACAAAACATTAGTTTGTCCTGTTTCAGCTTGATTCCGTCTCGTATACAACGCTGTAAAAAGCCTGCGAACCGTTTGTTGTGTTCATCTGCATTTTTGCCAAAAATTAGAATGTCTTCCATCACGCACAAAACACCGGGTAAGTCATCTACCTCTTGCATTAGCTAATTCCGGCAGTATATCGTCAAAAATGGGTATGGTGAAAAGCTCCCGTCTTAGTGTCTTGTTTGGTGGCTTCGGATCGATACATATTCTCAATTCTTCAGACTTTTTCGTAACCACCAGAACCTGACTCGCCCAGTCCGTTGGTTCATCGACTTTCTCCAAAACGCCCTTTGTGATAAGGTTATTCACTTCGCGCGAAAATTCCTCTCTAACAGCAAGTGAGGTCCGCCGCGTTGGTAAAACAACGGGCTCGGCTGCGTTGTTTATGTGAAGTGTCACAGCTCCTGGCAACTTTCCCAGTTTTCCATCGAAAACAGAGGTATACTTTTTCAGGTAGTATTCACTGTCTTTACAAACATGATGAACAAATGAATCATAGTTCAACGATACCAAACCAAGTCGCTCTATGGATTTGTATCCAAGAACTGGAACAAAACCCTGCTCCACGACGACAAAACTCACGACAGAAGAGACTCCGTTCCTGGGATTCTTCAGTGTAATAGTGGTTTCTCCTTTCGGCTCCACGTTTGCACCGTTCCACATAACCAATCTCGTCTGAGTAGGGTCCAATTTGGTATCGGGTAGGCAATTTATCGGTATTATGTTAACGGACGCACCAGAATCCATTTGAAACTCTACTTCTTCCCAATTCACCAACATATTTGCAAATATGCCTTTCCGTTTGGCCGGTAGTTGTACACCATTGACACGATCAGCTGCTCAAACGTGAGGTTCTGAAGTTTATTCTTTCTTCCCAAAACACTTTGCTGCAAAATGATTATGCTTTTTGCAGTTATCACACGTTTTGCCTCAAGCAGGACAGTTGCTTCTTCCCATAAGATGTATGCGGCCACAGAACCGGCAAGCAGCTGTTGGATGTGTTCGATTTTTAGCGGTAATTTTTCACAATCCATAACTTTCTGTCGTGGTAAGCGTCTCCATAGTCTTCTCTGCTGCCTCTTCACTCCGACATATGTCAATGCATTGTTTTAATGTCAGCTTTGGAAATTTTAGGAGGCGTTTCGCCACAGCAGAATCCGGTAGGCCAACGACAATTCGATCCCTAATTAGACTCTCTTCCAGACAGGAACGGAACTTGCACGCCCGAACCAGTGATTTTAGCAACAGGACGAATGCATCGAGGGACTCACCATGCTGCTGTCTCCTCTGGTTGAAAATGTATCGTTCGTAAGTCTCGTTGGATTCGCCAAGACAGTACTGTTCGACCTTCGTCTTCACCACCTGCCAATCTCCACGGTCTTCATCCGGACAGTAAGTGAATCCATTTATGACACGCACAGCAGCCGGACCAATCGTGTGACGGAACAAAGCCAATTGTGCGGGACTGGATTTGCTGTTCATTGCTGCCAGTGTACGAAAATCTCCATACTGTGTTCGCCACAGTCTCCAGTTATCATCCAATCGCGCCGTCTCCTCCATAGTCAGGTACGCCGGCAGTTGGACCTACAGTCAACTATTCATTCTCTCCGATGTTAATAATAATAATAATAATAGTGGTATATTTCACGAAGCCCGTGAAGCGTGCTTGCGCGCATGATCAAATGTACAATAATATAAAATTACAGCGGGGACAGTAAGTGATAGTACAGAGTTTAAGTTTCCAATTTGCAAGGTGATATAG